TTTTTTTGCAAGTTTGGCAAGTGTTCAAACTTAACAACTTTTTTCACCATAGAAACAACTCATGATGAAAAGCTGGATTCAGTTCGCAAAAAACAAAGTATTGCAATTTGATCATATGTAGCTAACTGTAGAGGGTTCACCTTAGAACATATCAAATTTTCATGCAATTTGAATGATTTTTCGCAGTTCTATGAACATTTGAATTTATAACTTTTTTTTGTAGATTTCAAAATTTTCGCAAACTTTTGACCGGTAGTGTATAGCATAATAAAGACAAAATGGATAAAGAGAAAAACAAAGAAAATTAATAAGTTTTATTTACTGCACAATAAGCTGTAAGTACTCATAAAATGAGTTAAAAATATAGAGAAAACATGGAAAATAATAAAGGTTAATGAAAAGAGAAGAAAGATTATTTAAATAAAATAAAATATTATTAAAAAAATGAAAAATCAAAATATTTTATTTTAACAATGTTTCTCCTTCTCTATTCTAATTGTATATTATTAATTCATTAAAATATCATGGAGAGGTAGAAATTCCAGGTTGGTAGCTCTGAAAACCATAACACAATGTTTCATGAACAAATAATTTAACTGATATAAATTAGCTATTTAGTATACATAGTAATGACAATCACACATCTTTTAGTAAAGCGAGGAAAAAACCCTTACTAGAAAATGATTCTTTAACAAGAATGAAATATTTACAACACAAAATAAATGATTATTTTAATAGTTATTACAAATAAATAGTATAATGCCTTTAAGATATTATCATAAAATCACAAAAATTACTTTTTTGTTATAAATTGTATTGACTTTTTGGTAGTTACTAATTTCTATAGAATTGTAAATTAATAAGTTTCAAAATCATTACGTACAAAACTTTCAGTTGATAAAGCAGCATTTTCAAATTAATCAAAAATAGTTTTTCTGTGTAAAATATACAAAAAAATTTTCTTGACTTTCACACAATTTTAGATAGTTTCTTGTCTTTTTATAACTCACATTTAAAGTATGGTAGAAGATCCTTATAATTCAAATTTTGCAAACTGAGCTTTGCACTTAGTGGAATTTCCTGTTATCATTTAATTCATCTTTAAACCTATTTGAAGGAACTGATTTTTTTAAAAAAAAAAAACTACAAAAAAGTGGTTGGTTCAAATTTATTATTAATCATTTGTGAAATTATGATTTGTGAAATTGCGAAAAATGCATTTTCAATTTTGTGAATATAAGGTTTTCATTCTAAATGTTCTCATAATAGTTTGCATTCTAATTTATGTATTTAATATCTAAATCTGTATCGCAATATTTGAGAGACAGATTTTGCGGAGTGGGAGTATACTTGGTGGTGTAAATGAAAACAATAACTGTAGAAAGAGATTTAACTTTGAACTGTACAAGTTTTATAAACAACCCGATATTATTAAATACATAAAAATAAATAGAATGAATTGGATCGCCCACGTGATTCAAATGAGTGATGACAATACAATAAAAAAGATACTGCTTTTTAGACCCACTGGAACAAGAAAGACTGGAATGCCACGGTTGAGATGGGCTGACTCGGTGAAATCTGATTTTCTTGCAATTAGTGAAGAGAATTGGAGATAAATGATAAATCAGAAGTCATTATGGAGAAATCTTCAGAGGAAAGCATTGTCCCACAATGGGCTGTCTGTCCAACTATGATGATGAATTCCTTAAAGAATTTTTGGGAATCTGCAGACATTTCAATTTAGGATTTTAAAAAAAGTTTTGTATCCCAATGAAGAGTTTTGTGAGAATAACTTTAAAGATTTTGCCCAGTAAATTCTCGCTTATTTCCCTTTCGACCAGGTTTATAGTTCTAAAAATGTATTATTTTTGATATACAGTGGATTGATTGTAAAGACACGGTTCTCAGTAGAACACCGAAGTCGAGCAACTCTGGCTACGATCAGTGAGTGACCACTTTGATCAGCCTGCGTAGGGACCAAGGGAGAGCAATATCGGTCCTCGTTAAAATGTTCTACCGAAAAGTGCTCGACTTCTCACACAGGTCGTCAAACTACCAAAGAAAGGGATCCATCCTTTCTGCAGAGGATTGAAATGGTGAAGGCATGTCCATACCTGCCATGATTGGAGAAATAAAATGAGAGAGATTTTACTAGCAACATTTTTTGGGTTCTGAGTTAAGTTTTCCTACATCATGTAAGTCAAAAAGAGAAATTCAAAATTGGAAATATTATAAGAACTTACATTTACTGTGAAGTGCAAAATATGCATATAAATATTAATAAGATATTTTTAAATCATTGTTTATAATTACTTAAACTATTTTATTTTATAACCGTCGTTGAACACCGACCCAATTTCTGGGTTTACCACTAGCAATGTTCAACTACAGAGCCCTGTAATTTTGAACCCAATCCAGAAGACAAGGAATATCCTGGATCAATCAAGTACAGGGAAAAATTTTCCTCTGTGGAAGATTTCTTGATGAAACTAAACCGCATTTGAGTTACATAGAGAGGAAAACCACAAAAATGTCCCACTGTTAGCCTGACTGCAAGGGGTACTTAAACTATTAACACTCAACCAACTGCAGTACTGGCAATAGTCCTATCTGTTGAGAAATAAGAGAAGTATTTTTGCCCTCAGCTTATATTTTATTGCCAAAAAATTTCGTTTAAAAAATTTCTTCAAATACGGAGAAATTTGAGAATACACAGGATATAGTCATAAAATACAGGAGTCCTCATTATAAAACAGGAGACTTTGCCGGTATGCTTTTGTATCTTTAAAATTATCATTTTTATATTGACTTGAAAACTTGTCGTGGTAGCAAGTTTCTTGTAATAAGTCATACACTTAGAACTTTTACTGTAATATTGGATAAACAACTTACTTTCTAACAGATAAACATCCCATAGAAAGTGGAGCACTCAGAGACATGGAAGGACTTAAAAGGTCTGGTTGGGCTTGATTTGGCATCAAAATTCCTGACTCAGCTGCATCTTTCTCGATTTGCAGTCGGTTGTTCAGAAGCTCCAGTGCCTTCCTTTCTCCTCCCCTCCAAATCTTTAACATTCGTACAAAACATATTAACATTCATATAGCTGATTATAAATACATTAAAAAGAAACAAAATTATGTAACTTTTACAACAAAAAAAATTATTTTAAACCTTTAAGATAAGCTCTAGATAAAACATTTTTTTAAAATTTAGCTATTAAACTTTTGGTAATCAGTTCTTGGTTTAACCACTGACAGTAGAAAGGCTCCAATGTGTTAGCAGACAATGTCAGGGTGCGTAGCCACATTTTTCAACAAAAAATTAAGCACCTTTTAAGCACTCGAAAAATATTTTGAACCACTTTCCAAAAAGAAAATCATACTTAGGTTATTGTGCAGTAATAAAAATTATTTTCTATAGTTTAAAGTTCTTAATTTATAAACATAAAATCAATAATTTTCTAGAAATTTACATAATCATGATAAAATACCCAGTTTCTGATAAATATTGCTGGGAAAATTGCGAAAATCAAGCATTTTTTTTGTAATTTAGAACGACCATCAATACGGCAAAGAAACAATCTCCTTTTAAACGATAGAAAATTGAGCACTTTTTACAAACCCCGTATAAAAAAGCACCTTCAAGCACTTTTAAAAAACATTTAGCACCTTGAGTGTGACCCGCGATGAAGTGCAGTTTTTGCTAACACAAATATCTTTAAAATTTCACATTAAAAAGTAAAGAGATTTAAAGTAAAAAGCAACCCTATTTGTTTGTTCAGGGCATTCCATTGTTGCTCCTAAATCTTCAGGAGATGATGGAATTTTAGAATCCAAAACTTCTTCATTCGATAACATTATATTTTCAAATTTCAATGGAGGTTCAGGCTTTGGAGGTGGTCCTAGTGACTGTGCAACCTACAAGGAATAAAAAAAGTTTATTATAAATTTTTTTTTTAATGTGCGTTCTCCTTCTAAATATATTTTATTTTGGAATAGATAAAATTTTATTTCAAACACCGAATTTTATTATAAATGCACAGGGTGCATCGCCAAATCTTTCAACACAAAAATAAGCACATTTTAAGCACTAAAAAAATATTCTTAAGCACTATATACATTAAAAAAATGCAAGGTAATTTTTGAAGACTTTACATGATTATGATAACAAGCTCATTAGCTGGAAAAATCCAGAAGTGTAAAATAAATTAATAAATATTCCCTATCATGAAATAAGTAATCTAAATGACATATTTTATTAGCTTTTCCTCATTAAAAATTTCAACTTTATATTTTTATGGATTTCTGCTTTTATTTTATCATTCAAACATTCAACATTCTAACATTAATTTGCCTTTATTCAACAGTTACTGCATCAGATTTCATGATTTTTTTAATGTGATGATGAATTACAAAATGTGTAATAAGAAATAATTAGTGTATCATCTTCTTACAAAATGTGAAAGTATTGCCCAATATATTAGAATTAAAAAAAATATTACATATTCAGTCAAAAAAATTATTTTACTTGATCCAATTTTTTTTATTTATTATTTTATTTATTTATTTTTTTGACGTTTATGCTTTTGTAACATTAAATTAGTAACATGTACATTTCAAGGGCAATTGTGAGCCCAACTCAAAAATCATTAATTACGCCTTTCAAAAAATTAATGTCTTAATAAATTTAAACCATTGATATATTCAAAACATGAAACTTTAAATAAATTATATGCAGCATAATTTAAATTAATAATTTTGTATAAGTTTACTTTTATTTCTAATAACATTTATTATCCTACCAGAAACAAACATTTACAAATGAGAGAGATGCCTAATAAACATATTATAATATTTTTTAATAAAATATACAAGATTTCTTGTACATAAATGTGATCGATGATTTCTTGGAAACTTCTGGACCCTGGATTACGGGAAACTTCCGGACAAAAAATCCGAAAATCCGGATTTTTTCCGGAGAAAAATCATCTCTGACATTTGTTATTTTTAAGTATCTTGCAGAAAGATATTAGTATTAGAGAGGTATGTCGCAGAAAGGCCAAAAAAATTCTTCCACAGGAGTAACTAAATAAATAACAATGAAGTGTAATGCAATCAAAATGAATATTTTCAAACAGTTCTATATTTGTAAATATTTATGGCTCCTTTTGTGCATTTAAGATTTAAAAAAAAAGAAAGAAAAAGAAACGCTGAATATAATTACCTGACAAAAAACATTATATGTGACAGGTGGGTTTCCTCTGTTGGCTTTAAGTATATCTTTAGGATCATACAAAGTGTGAGAAACTTTATTGATTATTTCAACATTCCTTTCTCTGCAAAAGTCTTGAATAGAAGATTCCACATCAGTCCAAACGGGTTGGATATCATCTTCGTAGGATAAGTGCGTAATGTTCCAGTCGGTCATCAAATCTTTCATAATCTTAGTCGGCTCACCACAGAAAACATACAGTCTGACAAAATTATAAATAGGCTATCATATTTATTCAAATCACAATATTTTAATTTCACAGTCAAATTAGCACCTTTTAAGTACTTTTTAAGCACTCAAAAAATATTTTTAAGCACTACATACATTAACAAAATGAAAAATAATATTACGATTTTACATGATCATGATAAAATAACTAGTTTCTGACAAAGAACGCTTTTTCCAGATTACATTAGCCACCATAAAAAGATCGAGAGATACTTTGATTCGATTTCAGAAGCTGGAAAATATCTTGCAAAATGCAGCAGAGTTGCATTTGAGAGTGCAATTATCTCACCGGACTCAGCTCAGTAGACGCACATGCGGACACGCAAGTATTTCATCCAACCTGTAAAAAGATTGGCACTTTCATACCCTACGGACAGACGGTACACTGAAATGGATTGTGAAAACATTAAATAGAACAATGTGAAAACCTTGCTTTCGCATAATATGTGATGAAAATCGACATGGTAAAAAAAATTTCATTTTTGAAAAGGGAAAATTCAGAACTATTTAAAAACAACACATGAAAAAAAGCACCGTTAAGGGCTTTTAAAAAAATTGAATAAAAGCACACTTAAGCACCCACAGACTCGCTAGTATCACAAACATGCAAAACGATTGGAACTTTCGTACGCTACAGATTGACGGTACGCCGAAATGGATTGTGGTTAAATGAATTGTGAATAGAACAATGTCAAAAACATGCTTTTGCATGATATGTGACAAAAATCCACGTTGTAAAAAAAAAATCATTTTTAAAATGGGAAAATTAAGCACTTTTTAAAAACATCCCATTTAAGCACCTTTTTTAAAACCACCAGGTTTCATTCAGTTCTGGGAATTTTAATATTAAATATTAAGTTTCAATGCTTATATTAAGTGATACAAATGAAATTTACATACCTACCACCGGAAGCTTTAAATGTCCTATCAATGTCTTCCAGAGATTCTATGATGTATCGCAATCTGTTGTAGCCAATTCGTTTCTCAAGTATCCCAGTTTTATCAAAAATGTAGACAGGATACAGCTTTGAACATTTCTATAAAAACAGAAATTAGAAACCTTAAAATCTGCGAGCAAAGAGCAGCTTTATTATTCACTCAAATGTCGACACTCGTACAATATTTTCCAAGAAAAAATAAATATCTTAAAAATTTGTGCAGAAAAAATACAAAAAGAATATTTCATAATGAAAATAAAACGATAATGCACAAAAGGGAAAAAGTACCTAGATCAGCAATTACCCCGGAAATCAGAAAAACTTGAAACTTTTCAAAATAGATGCTTGAAAATAATACTAAAAATCTTCTGGCCCAATAGTTAAACAAATAAAGACCTTTTAACAAAAGCTAATATACCATCTGTTAATGGAGAAATTTTAAAACGAAGATGGAGATGGCTCAGCCATATACTACGAACAGATAGAAACAATCCTGCAAATATTGCAAGCTCATGAGCGCCTGACGGAAAGAGAAAAAGAGGGAGACCGAGATTAACAGTGGCAAATATGCATTATGGAAGATCTTAGTAGAACAGGATCAACTGGATGGAAAGAAGCGCATTGCCTATCCAAAGGCAGGATTGCATGGAGAAAAAGACTCTAGACCTTAGGTTCCAGTTCGGCACAAAGAGGATCAGTAAGTTATTATCAACTCATAATTATAGTGAGAAGAATTTTGTGCAAAATTAAAAATAAAACTAACACCTACTAAATTTATAATTAAATTATAAAATGTTAAGCTGCAATGTTAAGTTTATGTTTCAAATTTATCTAAACATGCATACTAAAACAGGGTGGGTAGCCAAATCTCTCAACAGAAAATAAGCACCTTTTAAGTACTTTTTAAGCACTATATAGATTAACAAAATGCAAAATAATTTTCAAAAACTTTACATGATCATGATAAAACAACTAGTTTCTGACAAATAAATCTTTTCTTAATTATATTAGCCATAACAAAGTGATCAAAAGATTTTACAGTTCAATATCGAAGGGTGGAAAAGGAAGCCTGAAATTGAGAATATCTTGCAAAATGCAACAAAGTTGCACATGAAAGTATAATAATCTCACCATACCTTGCTCAGTAGACGCACATGCGGAAATATTTCATCAAGCATGTAAAATTATTGGTGCTTTCATATGCTATGGACCGAGGGTACTCCGAAATAGACTGTTGAATTAACTGTGAAAACATTGAAAAGAACAATGTAAAAAGCACGCTTTTACATAATACTTGGCGAAAATCAACATGGTAAAGAAAAAAATCTCATTTTCAAAAAGGGAAAATTAAGCACTTATTAAAAACACCCTATGAAAAAAGCATCTTTAAGGGCTTTTAAAAAACAATTATCGAAAATAAGCACTTTTTAAAAATGCTACGCAGCATGATAAACATGCATATCAAAATTTTCATCTAATAGTTAAAATACATATTTTATTCTGAAAAGAAAGAGACATTAAAGATGACAATTTTATTATACTAACTGTCATGGCCAAGCTTAAGGACGGCATATCATGGAGACGCAAGTCATTGCGGAACCAGTGAATCAACTGACCATCAGCCATTGTTCAACTATATTTAAGAAAGACATAATTAATGTTTACTCATAGTAGATATTAATAATCTCCAATGTTATTTCAAAAAATTGTGTTACTACATAAGAAGAAGCAATAAAGTAATGTAATGTTTATGCAAGCAACAACTTAACACTAAACATGCCATAACCGGTCAACTGACCGTTTAAGAACTTTTGCATTGAAAATGTGCTTATCATCTTATCGTTTTTGCACTACATGTCTTTTTCTAACAATTAGAGACATTTAATATTCCATTATTATTTTTCATATATATATTTTTTTTGTATTTTGTCTGTTACAAATAATACTTGTCGTATACCTATTTCTACCATAACCGGTCATTTGACCGGGAGAACAATTTATCGCTTTATTAGGTCATCAGATTAGAAATTACAATGTAATGCGTATCGCAAGTGATGAGTTACACATTTATGCAGACTGTTGCGTAGTTAGTTCATTCATAATAACAGTGAATTCAAATTTCAAGAAAGTACCTAAAATTTTAGATTGGCATTTTTGTGTAAGAAAAAGTGACAAATTCTAAATGTTTGGGTAAGTAGCTTATATTTTAATTTGGTATCTTTACTTCAGTTCTAACTAACTGTTAGTTTTTACCCAGAAAAATGTCAAAACAATCAAGACAGCACAAGTTCTTAGAAGAAATATTATTAATTATAATTCTTTTAATAAGAATAATTACAAGAATTATAGAAATAGTACTAATTAAAAGGAGTATGTTTGCGGAAAATGTACAATGGAAACACACTGTATCTGTAAAAAATGCGTTAAGCAAAGAATAAGATTAAAAATTCTTATTCTTTGTGTTTGTAATACATAAAAATTATATATTAGTATAAAAGAACTACTATACATATATCTTAACGATTTTTTTTTTAAATTTTAGATAAATAGTTTTGGATTAATTTTAAATTGCTTTAAAAATATTGTTTGATTTCATTGAATATTTATAAAGTTATAGCAAAAAAAAGTAAGGCAAAAAAATTAGTTTTCAATAAGAATGTCCTTATTTCTATAAATCCATATCCCTAGGTTTATGAAATTTTATGCAGCTACTTCAATTTACAATTAAAGTAACCTATACAAGTTATACAAACTTATTGCTTGATTTTCTAGCATAAAATTGATTTCTAGGGCGTTCAAAAATACTTGCTTTTTCTTTCATAATTTATCATTGATCTCCCAAACCTCTGAAAGCATTAAATCTTATTACTATGTATGAAAAATTGCATGAACTAAGCATCTTTAAAGTTATAAATTAATCTTTTAAGTATTTAAGAAATTTAAAAAAATGTCAAAAACTGAAAGTGTCTTTTCTGTTTTCCAATATGTGCTACAATATAGAAATAATACATATTCCAATCAGTTATAAATAATAAACAATTTTATCTCTAACCTAACTAAATAAACATTGATTCATAGCATTTACCAGGTTTTTTCCATGGTTTTTACTGGAACAAACCAATCCTCCATATCCTAGTAAAAACAAAACCCTGAAGTTAACCAGCTTAAACTTGCTCAAGAGCAGGAATTTGATAAAGAAATCAAGTCCCTCAAGGTTTAAGGTGCAGTTAATAGTGACAGTAAGGTAAAAAATTTATTATTCCTTTTAGATAAAAATGGCATTTTAAGAGTTGGTGGAGAATTACAAATGCTGATTTAGAATATGATACTAAGTTTCGAATTTTTTTTATCTAAAGATCACAAATTGCTTTATTTAATTGTTGAACACTATCATCTTAAAAATTTGCATGCTGCACCACAATTGTTTCTACACCTTATACATCAAAAGTTTGGTCTTAATTTGTGCAAAAAGAATGTTCATTCATATATTGTGTTTTAAAGCTAAACTTGTCTAGAAATATCATCCAGGTTCTTAATTTAGACTCCAAGTTTTAAGCATTAAGATATGATAATGAAATTTCTGCTTGTTTAAAGGTATCTGGAGATAAAACAAACATCAAAATAAATAAATTATGCTTAATATTTTTAATTATGATTATTTTAGTTATTAAACTATACAACTGAGTTATTTAATTTGAAGGGGGGGATCTTATTTGAAGATATTTCTACAAGAGAAAAAAAACCTAACAATAATTAAAAAATTAATGTAAATAACTTCCCCCCAAAAAATAAGTCTTTTTTTTATTTTTTTTTTTTTATTACCAAATATATAAATGATATAAATTTTTTCACATTAAGTATTTTTAACAAGGTAAACAATAAATGATGAATATGTTTTAAAATTTCCTTTAATTTAAAAATTTCTAAAAACCAATCGCATCTATTTCAAACAACCCATTAAATAAAAAAGAACATGAAAACAGAACTGGTTAAGTTACATACAAATGCAACAAAATTTTTAGGCACGGTACAGCTCGATTTATTTTACAGTACACTTTTATTTCACTCGTTTATAGAATTCTTTCAAAAAACTTTTGGCAAGGCGAAGAAGAAAAAATATTTTTACTCAAATGTACATTTTCGGTAATTTAATTCTGGTTAATATTTTTTGAGAAAAAGCGGCAGTTGAAATTAATCGCTATAATACAATTAAAGCCAGCGTTTGTCCTACTTTCTTTTTTTACAGACAGCTTATTAAAAAGATAGTAATGAAATAACTAAATAATATCTATACTACATATTCTTTGTCAAAAGAAAACAAAACAAAAATTCCAAGGCTTCGGAGAATAATCAACAGGTGAAAGGAATTTTTGTGACAAACGCGCGAATTTTTATAGATTCGCATGTGTTTAAAAAATATTTTGGAAACACACATTATTAAAATAGAAATAAAATTAAAGTAGAATAATAATACCTGAAAGGAAAAGTGTTGATATTTTATGTGTGACGTTGTCAAAGTTCGAATCCAACACGGAATTTTAGTTTCGTAATGTGGTACAAAAATTTAATTGAAACGAGGCGGTTGTGATTTGTAAATCGAACTGTCTTAGCAGCCTCCAATCTACTACGTTAACCCTATAATTCCGTGGTACCATCTGAAATCAAGGGAAGGCTATTTTCACGCCAAGTTTTGACCGCCTGGCGGCAGATGAATTTTGCGCTGGTTGTGAGAAACGGATGTACGGTGTCTGGTTGCGTTTAACGAAGTGAAAATATTTTAATTACGAATCTCATGATTCGATTTCCCATAAATAACCTTTCATATGTATTGTAGGTACATTAGGGCTGTTGATTATTTGCTTTTTTTCCCTCTTGTCTTCTTTTCGATATCACTTGAACAGTAATATCTAAGCCCATAATTTTAATATTTTATATTAAACCCTGCGCGGACCACCTGACATCGTTCAGAGACCCCAAATTCAATTTTAATTTTTCATGGACCCCCTGAATGATACTGGGGACCACTAGGGGTCCGTAGGGACCACTTTGGGAACCAGTACTGCTCTGGATCAACTCGAAATACCACAAAAGCTTCCTCTTTGGTCTCCCAGTTAATAAAACGTCTCTCAATCAACTCCCAAACCAAAAATACGACATTTTAATCTCTAGTCTCCGAAGTATCACAATTCAATTAAATGTAATTTGGAATAATTTCGGACTCATGGATTTCCTTAGTGTGATCATTGTCAGTCCCCAGAATCTGTAAGCCACTTCCTCTTTGAGTGCAAAAAATTCGATTTTTCATCGGACCTCAATTCCTGAGTTCCTCAATCATGGTGTTCCCCCTTTCCTCTCACCATCGACTGAGCTATGACCATGCGAAAATCTTTTTAAAATCTTATTGTCCTTTTTGAGTTTAACCAGAAGATTCTAGTCCCCAACCTAGAAATCTCAAATTAATAGAACTACATAATTTTTATTTTATTGGCGTTAGTCACCCAGACAGCCTGGGGGAAAGAGTGTTTCTGTTAAGAGTTTACACTGATGAATGTTCGCTCTCCAAAAGTTTTGGAGCCATTAAATTTTGATTTCTCATTCTCAGAAAACTGCAAACTTCGCATCGATTTAGTCCCTCACGATCATTTTCTATCCTCACTTCTTCATTATCATCAACTCAACCTCTTCAAAAGTGCATTGAAACTGCAAAATTACGAGCGTCGATTTCTCGGAAAACTGCAAATTTTGCATCGAACTAGTTTAAAGTTTTCTCCACAGTGTTCATCTTGCACCGTTACTTCTCCATCATTAACAACTCAACTCACCACCATCAACAGAACTCTCTCTTACAGCACAGAGGATAAAAGCGAAGAGCAAAGATCCTCTTCTTCATCCAAATCAACATTGCTCCGCCTTTATTAGGAAACTCCCTGGCTGAGTTGTATCGCCTGCTAAACACTGTGCAAAGCGGAGAGATAACGGGTTCGAATCCCACTGTTAACCTGGATGTATGTTCATGCCGTCCTTCTCTGTATTGTGCTATCTATTCTTCTACTTGAGTTGTCGTTGTAGTTTATTTACGTCGCACTAGAGCTGCACAATAGGCTATTGGCGATGTTCTGGGAAACATCGCTGAGGATGATCCGAAGACATGCCATGAAAATTTTGATCCTCTGCTGAGGGGATGGCACCCCCCCCCCTTCGGAAGCCCGACGACCTGCACGCGAAGACGAGCACTTTACGATAGAAGAACAGTTTAACGAGGACCTATACCGCACACCTTCGCGCCCTACGCAGACTAATTCAAGTGGTCACCCACCCGTACACTGACAGCAGCCAGGGATGTTTGACTTCGAAAAATTTATTTGACAAAGGCTTATAACCCTAAATTGAGAGCACAAACCTGTATATGTATGTAATTCCAATAAACCCGCTTTTCTTGCTTTATTGGAATTACATGCATTTGCAGGTTTGTTTGCTCAATTTAGGCTTAAGAAACCTTTGTCAAGTAGAGAGACAGGTGGAACAATTTTAGAGAAGGACATCAGAACGAATACATCCAGGGTTACGACGGGATTTGAACTAAGCCACCTCCCCGCTTCACACTGAGTTTGACGGGCAATACCGCTAGGCCAGAGAGGCCTCCCTGCCTCGCCAAACATTGTGCAAAGCGGAGAGGTAGCGGGTTCGAATCCTGTTGTTACTCTGGATGTATCTTTGTGCTGTCCTTCTCTGTATTGTGCTATCTGTTCCTCTATTTGACAAAGGTTTGTGAGCCTAAATTGAGCTCACAAGTCAGAAATTGTATGTCATTCCTATAAACAAGTCCCGAAATTCAACTCATTTCAGACGATAAAAGCGAGTAGCACAGATCCACATCACCAACTCACTGCACTCTTATTTATGCTAATTTTCCTGCTGCGTGATTGGTTGATTAAGTATAGTATAAATAACCCTTTACGTTGGCTGCTCGCGTTATTAGTCAAGCTTAGTACGAAATTGTTATTAGAGATTGTTTCGAAGTAGTCGTAGGTGTTTTGAAGTCCGACAAATGTCCGAAGAACAAACTATTCCAAAAACACATCACGAAGCTTTGGATGTGTTCATTCATTCGAAAGTTGGATTTCCAGGTTAGAATTCAAATTTTTCATCTCAAAATTATTAATCTGCTGTTTGAAATTTTCATAGTTTCTTTTTGTTGCCTTAAATATTTAACTTTCATAGTTAAGAATCGGAAGTTGAAATTTTACTTTAATTTTATGTATCGGAGTTAATTTTTTTTAAATTGAAAGTTTGAAGTTCCAATTTTAAACAGATTCTTAGTCTGAGCAAGAATTGTTAAAATTAAATTTGTCTTTAATGCTTTAATTTCACTTTTTCTATAAACTTCAAAATTTATTTCAAATTAGCTTACGTTTAGTTTAAATTATCTGGATAATAATTTATTGAACAGCAACTAATTCATAACTTATTTAATTAAGTTTTCTAATGTTCTTAATGATTGTTTTCACTTTAGTATACTGTTACTTAAGATTTGAATTTTTAAAACCAAATTAGTTTGACGAATTACTTTATTTTGACTTGAGATTATTGCGTTTTAACACTTTCTAAGGCCGTGGTAAATATACTTACCACTACTTAAAGTCCATGGTGAGCTTTTTTCGTACTTTTAATTTTGGTTTCAATTTGTTAATAACTTCAGTTTTCTTGAAGTGCGTTTGAATAAAATTGATAACCATTTGTTAGTTTAAGAAAATTTATAAAAGTTATAAAATACATAATTGCTTTTGAAGTTTGTGTCATTTATAAAATTTACTTTATAAATAACAAAAGTAAAAGCCAATAAATTCTTAATAGGTCGTGGTAAATATATTTACCACAAAAAAATGACATTAAAATTTAGATTAATTTTTAATAAGCTAATGAGTTTTTTCTGGTATCAATTACTATTCTTATATCAATTCCAAGAATACTTCAATTTACCTTTGCTTGAAATAAATGGCCCATTAAAGGATTAAACGCTCTTATGTTGAACTTGAAGAAACTTTCCAACAAGCGTTCAGCCATGTCTATATTGTTCTAAATTCTTTAAAATTGAGAATTGCATTGTTGCGAGAATTACTTTTAATCGCACCAAGTTTAAAGATCCAATCTGATATATGTACAATATTTTAATTCACTTTTTTTTTTTTGCTAAATTTTAAATTTTGAAATTTCTAAAACTGAGTTGATTTGAATTATTTTAAATTTCGTTTAGTTCTTTCTAAAATATTTCAAGTACACACAGTAGTTTTTGAGATTAATTTTAATTCTGAAGTTCCCGGCGATTATTAACATAATTTGAAGAAACATAACTGAATGTTTTAAGATTAAAGCTTCTAGTTTTTACATTTTTGTTCCGTTTCTAGAAATTTTAGAAGTCTTCTGCAATTTAAAATTTAATTTAGTTGGCTACGAAGATTAGAGTTTTATTTGGGATTTAAAATTCGGATTTAAAACTGCTCAATCTTCCATATACTGAATTGAATCTAGTACTGATAACATCTACGTTTTCCATCTGCAATTTTTTATTTTTCTTAGAATTTTAAAATAAGTAATCGATTTAAATGAAATATTTGCAGACTATTTCTTTATTTGGAAATTTGCAAATTTCGCAAATTTTACTGCTTGGCTGAAATTTTCACAATAGAGTAACTAAGTAGGAAGATTGTTTTGCGGAGGTAGTCGTGCAAAATTTAATGTGTTTAATGAGTAGAGTACTCGGGATAACTTTATTTTCTAATCATCGGATTTTCGCGTGAATGCTAGTTTCAATAGATCAAGGATTCGACTCAAATGTAATTAATGCTAATTTTTAAGTTGCGGGGTTGGGTGCATAAACATTTATTCTCCGAATAAAATTTTTTCTACGATTTTTCTTTTTGATCCGCAAAGTTTAAGAGTAGTCTCACTCTGGACAATGATGGCTCAGGGGATAGAGCGCTCGCCTTCCAATGAGGTGAACTGGGTTCGAATCTCAGTGATGGCTGGTTGACACGAATCCCGCACCCGTCTCGCACCGACCACCGTGCTGACGTAAGAGTATCCTCAGTGGTTGCCGGGTCATGGGTTAGAGATTCCTTGCCGTCAAGCTAACCGTGGATGGTTTTCGTAGTTTTCCTCTCCACGTAACACAACTGCGCTTTAGTTCCATCAAAAAGTCCTCCACGAAGGCGAATTTCTGCCATTATTTGATTCAGGAGTTTCCTTGTCTTCTGGATTGGATTTAAAATTGCAAGGCTACAGAGTTGAACATTAGTAGCCGTGAACCCAAACAATTGGGTCGGCTGTTCAACGACGGTTAAAAAATCTAAATTTTGTATATTGATCCGCATAGTTTATGTAGTCTCAATTTGACAATGTGTCTCCAATAGTTTTGCCGGGAAAGTTTAGGGGTCGGGGCCTTTTTAATGGTAAATATTTTAACTTTTTATTGTTGCTTATAAAAATTATCCAAAGTACTCAGTTATTTAATGCTCAAAAAAATTTCGTATGGTTTTAAGTGCCAAAATCCAATATTTACTTTAAATCGGTGTAATAGGTTTGAGTATATAATTTCAGAAAAACTAATTTTTAAATTGTCATTTCTCAAACTACTCGACCGGTTACTTTTAATACTTAGATTTTGTCACTAAATCTACATACTTTAATGCGTAAAAATTTATATACCCTCAAATATTTCACGAACATTATTAAGATTCTTACATTTAGATAAATTTTGTCCAGAGTTCTAAAATTTTTGAGTCTCGTATCCATTAATTTTGAATTTCAGAAGTACTATTTTTCATTTAAATTACCATCTATTTTAAATTTTAACACTAAACATACCAACACTTAATCTATATCTATTTCTACCATAGCCGATCAAATGGCCGGACTTTGTTTCTTGATTGAATGTAAGAAATATGGATGTTAGGAAATAAATAAATTAAAGTAACTTTATTGCAATTAAACAAAACTGTATATTACCAATTTCTATATTTTACAAACACGAAGAATAAGAATTTTTAACTCATTGCTCAACGCATTTTTTACATACTTTCATTGTACATTTTCCGTTAACATATTTCTAATTATTATTACTACTAAAACTCTTATAATCAATATTTATTCTAAATACTTGTGCTGTCTTGATTGTTTCGAAATTTTTCTGGGAAAAAACTAACAGTTAGACATGAAGTAAGGCTACCAAAGTAAAATATAAGCTACTTACCAAAACATCTAGTTTTTGCTAGTCTTTCGTGCACAAAAATGCCAATCTAAAATTTTGGTTCTTCTTCAGGAGCGCAACAGCCCTTTGCAGGCCTTGGCTGCCTCAAAATTTTGGTTACTTTCTTGAAATTTTTTCGGTTATTCTGATTGAGCTACCTGGGGTCTGTTTAAAGAAAGGGAATTAAGGTTCATTAACGGACCCTTCACAAAATATCTTTTCATGCAAACGGACCCTTCACAAATTTGTTTATCTTCGTTAACTTGTTATTCAAATAAACCCTTCCCTGGGGGCGGGGGGGGGGGAGAAAGACTGTTCGAAACTAAGTTTTCCAAGTTTCCCAAAGTTTAAATTCCAAATCTAGTATTCTAAGAAAATATTTCTACTTTTACAAAACATCGTGTGCACATTTTTATTGATATTAAATGATTTTTTTTGTAAATAACTAGTTGATCAATTTATATTCATATAATTAATAGAATAAATAAAAATGTAAATAAAAATTTATTTCTGGCAATTTTTTAAATAAAATATTATAAATATAACAATTGTTTAAATTTATTTAATGCGTAGCACATTAAAAGTGATCCATTACTAAGTTTTGTTATTTTAAATGTGTCAATTGAAATTAAAAATGTGAGTGATTTTTGTTTCCATTATTCGTCCGAAATGAATATTCTGCTTTGAGCAGTATATGCTAAATGCCAAATATTTGTATGTTTCATCTCTAATTTAATAGCAGCAATTGTTGAGCAGAATATTTTATCTATTTACAATTTAAAAACTTCTTGAAAAGGTTTTTAGCAATTTTTGCGATAACAGGACCCTATTTGCACAAATTCACAATGGACAGGACCCTGGTTGAAAGAATGTGACTTAACGTTTATTTTATATTCCCAAATTATGAGTAGTTTTTCACAATTTAACAGAAACTGGACCTTTCACAAAATCTCTGGACAGACCCCTGACTTCGCAAGTCTTTTCTGGGTGAAAATAAGTTAGAAATGAAGTAAGGGTATCAAAATAAAATATAAGCTATTGACCAAAACAGTTTGTCACTTTTTCTTACACAAAAATGCCAATCTAATATTTTAGCCACTTTCTTTAAATTTTAATTCAGTTATTCTGATTGAACTCACTACGCTAAAGTATTTGCAGAAATGGGCAACTCATCGAATGCAATACGCTGAACAAGCATTACATTGAAATTTCTAATCGGATAACCTATTAAAGCAATAAATTATTCTCCCTGTCAAATGACCGATTGTGGTAGAAATCGGTATAAGACAAATATCATTCGAAACAAAGTACAAAAAAGTAGAATATTAACTAGATAATTGTTAGAAAACTACGTGAAGTCAAATGTGCAAAAACTATATGACAAGCGCATTTTCAAAGCAAGAGTTTTAAAGCTAAAGTTAAGTTATGGGGTGTTCAGTGTTTAATTACCATCGATTTTAAATTTACTTTTGAAGAAACTAGTTTAAAAATGACTGTAAACCCAGTAAACGAGTGGTTTCAGATTACCTTAGAAATGCTAATTTAGCGTTATGAAAGTTTCCCCCTAAATCACCAAACAATGGGGTTATCTTTCAGAACTACATTCTTCAAAAATATTGAAGGAGTGGCGATGGCTCAGGGATAAACCGTTCGCCTTTCAATGAGGTGTACCGGGTTCGAATCACAACGATGGCTGGTCGATACGAATTCTGCATCCGGCTTGCACCGACCACTGTGCTGACATGAAATATCCTCAGTGGTAGACGGATTAGGGGTTACAGTCCCTTTGACGTCCGGCTAACCGTGGGAGGTTCTCGTGACCTTCCTCTTTATGTAACGCAAATGCGGGTTAGCTCCCTCAAAGCACTCTACGAAGGTTAATCTCTCGATACTTGATCCAGGAATTGTCTTTTGGATTGGGTTCAAAATTGCAAGGATACGTCGTTAAATATTGGTAGTCGTAAACCCAAAAATTGGGTCGGCTGTTTAACGTTGGTTATAAAAAAAAATTTCTTCCGTTAAAAATGTAACACTATAAAATCACCATTAGGAGCCAATGTTGGAGTGCTTGAATTCTGAAATTTTTCTTCCTGAAGCACCTAACGATGGGGTTCATCTTTTAGAGCTACATTCTTCAAAGATATTGAGTATAGTTTTTCTGTGGTAAGAACTTCCCCCGTTCATAAAGTCTGATGCAGTCTGCTGCCATGGAAACAAGAATAGCACATTTCAGGATGGGTAGCTTCTCTTCTCTCTAGGGCTAACACGGTAGACTGAAGAAAGATTCCCTTTCTCTCGTCGACCCTAGCTAAAACCTGTCCTAAACAGTGACCGCGCACCCCTACATGAAATAGTTACCATAGTCACCAACACGGGTCCTGAGGAATGACTAGGGGAGTTCTTATTTTAGACAAACTAGATAGAATCTCGTAGGCAGTAATAAACGTTCTATTTCTACAGGAGCCTGGTCCGAGGAGAAGGTCCAAACTCTTTTAGATCTCTGGGAAGATGTGTTGTCGAGACCACGGTCTCGTCGCTACAGTGTCTCCAAGAGAATATGCAAGCGTCTTCTCGGCAAGGAAGAGTTTAAAGAGTTCAACAAAGATGATGTGTTTCGTCAGATGAGTCTTTTGAGTAAAGAATATTAGTGAGTATTTTTCAATAATTGCGAACATTAAACTTGTTTGCTGAGGTTACGCACAACTTGCATTTGTATGACAATATCTGGGTCCTACGGCTGTTGCATCATCCATTCATGAACTCGCGTATTCCTTTTAAATGGACTCTCTATAGACATAGCCTTTTGTATTTTTGCAATACATTAGTCTTGGGCTGGGATAGCCTGGTTAGTAGGGCATTTGACCCACATCCAAGAGGTCGTGGGTTCGATCTAATTACTCCCCGTGTAGTAGATGGTGACTGACATACGCTAAATCTTCCATGTACCCATAACAAATCATACCTGGAGATACTGTTCCAGGAGTTTACTTGTTTTCTGGATTGACTCAAAATTACAAGCCTGCAGAGTTAAACGTTGGTAGTCGTGGTTTACTGTTCAACTACGGTCATAAATAAAGGAATAGTTGTCCTTCATTCTCCTATCCTTTCATACGTAACTCACACATTAAATTCTCAACAAAAACCGTGGAATGTTTTCGTGGTTTTCTCCTCATGTAACGCAAATAAGAGTTCCATCCAAAAGCCCTCTTCGAAAGCAAATTCCAACAAATACTTGATCCAGGAGTTTCCTTGTCTTGGGTTCAAAATGACAAGGCTACGGAGTTGAACATTAGTCGTAAAACCATAAAATTGGGTCGGCTGTTCAACGACGGTTATAAAATAAAATCTCAATAGATCAAAGGGTTGACTTAAATATTTATATGCTAATTTTTAAGTGACTGGGTTGGACGCATGAAAAATTTTCTCTAAATATTTTTTGGCGCAAAGGTTTTATAAATAATTAAAATTTACTATTTTTCGTTCACAACAATAAAGTTTATTCAAGGATATGAAAGATTTATAACGGTACCAATTCACAAATTAAGTTCTGAAAATTGAAATGTTACTAAAGAATAGCTTTGCTTATTAATGAAGTATAATTAATGTAAACAGTTCAACTTTAGTTAAAAAGTTGAGTTACAAACATTTGGTAAGCTTTTTGAATTTCGTGTTGCAGTCAAATATGCTATACATGCAAATTGTTTTAAAATTAAAACTAAATTTTTAATAAATTACATAAAATAAGCTTATTACGCTTCTACCATAAACTATATACAATGTATTAAAAATTACAAAAATCGTGTTTTTTTTAGCCGTAAGATTTATTGTGGAGTATTCTTTTAAAACTGATCGATTTACATAAATATGCTAAGGTAACTTAATTTTTTTTAGTGTAATAATAGCGTAAATTAACAATTTATTTCTTAAAACAATTTAAAGCATATTTTGAAAGGAATGACAGCAAATTTATAAGAATAGTTTTTAACTGTAAAATAGAAACTGAAAGCTCAATTAGAGAAATTAGTATAAATATGAACTAATGATTACATTTTTTAGTGTAATTCCTTGGCTTAAATGTCCAAAATTTTTTTGCCTCAGTCTAACAATCAAATGGGTTTGTGGGGACAGTAGTTATCGACCATGTCAACCTTCATCTCTGAAAAGGTACCCAACATAGAATCTAGTTAACATGTCATGTCTTGTATACTTTAGAATTGTATATTTGTAGTGGTAGATACACTACAGTACTCCTCACCAGAATTTTATCTGTGATAGAATTCGGTGAATGGGATACCTAGTTCATTCATTGCTGTTTGTGTGAAAAGCTGGGAGAGCTGTACTAAGTTCACTGTCCTCCTGTGTTGCCTTTAGCTGTCGAGTGCATACGTTGTACGCTGTGTGGTACAACGTAAAGAGGACAATGTCGCTGTCACAAGTCAACTGTTCAATGTGGACCATCCATCGAAGTAGGGCTGTTCATTTCGAAGTGAGAGTTTCTGTGAAGTTGGACATGTTCACTTCACGTCCGAAGGTCACCCATGTGAGGAAAGTAGATATCGACCATGTCAACCTTCATCTATGAATAGGTACCCCCAACATAGAGTGAACATGTCTTCCCAGATAGCAAAATAAGGTTTGTTTTCACTCTGAAAAAATCTTTTTAATGTGAACCTAAAAAGATTTTTTTATGCGGTTTACGTGTAAACTATCTAACCTTAAAACGAGATCTGTGACAACCTGTTCTATTCTACGCATTGGAAACCTTGGAAAACAACCTTCTATATGAAAACCTGAAAATCAAGGTTGTCTTAGGGTTTTCATGCTTAAAAAAATTCTCGAATAAAGCTAGTCTCAATGAAAATAATGTTTCATCTATTGTAATTATAAGGTTTCTTTTCGCAAAGTCTTGCATGCTTAGCTAAAATCAACCTTGTTATGAAATTTGAATGGACAATGCCATTTCATCTAGAGCCCCTGAATTACGACATATTAAGGACAATACTTTTTAAAGAAGCTTTAGAAAAAGTATTTTTAATCATTTTAGGAAGAAAGGTTTGAAACTGCAATATTTTTGCTTTATTGAAAAACTGTTTTTAGCACGAACATTTTCGTGACACTAAGGAAAACTCAGACACAAGGTCGCTGTAAGGTTACATGTTTTCTGGGTTATATATTAGAGATTCGGAATTTCATTTTTGCAGTGGTAGATATATATACACTACAGGTTTTTTTTTCTTCTCTCAGTTCTTACTTAGGCTTTCAGATGATGGGTGTCGAGATGGCCAGACCTGCCTGTGTCGATCAATTGGATAGGATATTCAGCAAAGCAAAAGTAAAGCCTCTTCGTCAAACTGGATCGAGACCAAGGCGTAACACGGAACCTACAAAGCAATCTGAAATATCCGAAGATTCAGATCACTCGAGGAGCCAGTCAGTCACCTACGGAGAGAAGGAACCAAAGGCAGACCCTACTAAAGCCGATGATGTAAGTAAAATAAACCTTCAGCTGTAGTTAGTCTAGAGCAAGAACTCCCCATAGCCATTCGTCTGGACCCGTGCAGCTCCAAAGAGCAGGGTGAGCCGCGATGGCTCAGGGGATAGAGCATTCGCCTTCCAGTGAGGCGAACCGGGTTCGAATATCGGCGATGTCTAGTCGATACGAATCCGCATCCAGTTTGTACAGACTAGAGTGCTGATGTGAAATATCCTCAGTGGTAGACGGATCATGGATTAGTCTCTTTGCCGTCAGGCAGTTATTTAATTTTATGAAGATGCCTCAATTTTGTAAGTTTATCTCTTATGAAATTAAGTATATACTCGAGGTTACGCGATTTTCCCTTCCTGGCTCAGTTACCAGGGACCAGGCATATCTTTAATTCTTTCTGCACGTTTCAGTAAAATTTCAATATATTTGAGTGCGGAAAAGAGATCCGAAACTATGGTAAGTGAGAGGGGGAAAGTGTTAAGAGTGGAAAAATCTCGTAACCTAGATTCCCATTCTATTCATAAAGTATAATGCTCCAAAACTTAAATGTTAAAATAGTCATAAAATAATTTCAGGCAGGTGTTCCTGCATTTTTATTTTGTAATAACAGAATTAGTTTAGATCCTCTTTACCATCCAAGTCAAAAGTTTTTGACGGTTCCATTGTTGGATCAACATAGTCTTGACTGTAACTATCAATAATTCCATCATGAACCATTATATTTTTAATGGTAACCAACATAAACTATCATCCCAATCTAAGAATTCGGACTAGTGTATGATGGTACAACATAAGAATAGCAACTTGTTTTGATTATTTGTTGATGCTAAACCATCAGAAATTTCCATCATAGTTCCTTAAAAATCAAATGTTGGAACACTCATGAACTACCATCACACTAATATAAGAATTCGGACTGATTTATGATGGGTCACCATTAAAGAACCCAACTTGTTTTGATGGTATATTCCTGCTGAATCAAAAAGAATTCCCATTAAACCATCGTACTTGTTGGAACAGTCGTGAACCATCATTGTTGGTCCGTGAAAATCAAGCTTTTCTTGATGGTTAACATATCATGGTATTAAAGTAGCGTTTTCCATCATGGAATGATGGAAATTTGTTGGCATATTAAAAATCGTGAAAGCATAATAGAAAATGTAGGATGAGGTTGGGCAATCATGAATCGCACTGGAACAAACTTAAACCACCAAAAGTTTTTGATGGTATCATGTTGACTTTGGTACTCTTCTCTGCACTCGCCACCTGGTGAATAAATAAAATGTATAAATATTAAATTTTTCTTTATGTTAATTTGCATTTTTTTTTTTTTCTTTTTTGAAACAGGCTCTAAGCAAAACTAGACGTGGTCGCTTTCCGAAAATGAATATTCAGAGGTTGATTCGAACGATGGTCAGTCAGCAAACCGCCATGATGGAACAAGTTCAGAAGCTCTTTAGTTCACTGGAAGAATCTAATTCAAAGACGGCAGCCTTGTTGGAAGACTTGGTTTTGTTCCAAAAAACGAAGCATTCGACAGTCGGTGAAAATTAAAAGCTAGAACTGTAAACTTTGACTAATAAATTTCTTAATTATCCATCCGTCTGTTATTTTTTTATTAAATATAATTGTTATCCATCATTATCTGCCATTTAGATATTTCTTTCAAAGCATAATTTTAAACTGGTTGAATTTTATAAATATATCCCTATTCAGAATATCAAACTTAAAAAATTTCAATTTAAATTTGATATTGATTTCTTAATAAATCTCTTAATTTCTAATCTTTTTTTTAAGCTTTGTTTATTCAGAAATATTTTCCTGATTCTTAAGATTAAATTCACTTTGGGAACATAGAACAAATGCATGTCATGTCATCTAAAAGATGAAATACAAAAATCAATGGTGGGTAAGATTTGAGTTAAACTACAAATAATGAGTATCAACGTGTCAAGCCTTAAAACTGGGATGCATACTTTTGAAAGAGTTAGGTTCTAAACTAAAGCAGCTTTATGTAAAAACAGGGTTAAAGCGGATAGGGATGTCGAAACATCGACAAGGTAGTGTCTTTTGTTTCACAGGTAGAACTCGTTCGATCATTTTATTCAATTTTTTTCCCCCAATACTTAGCTTTCCTTGGTGCATCAGATATCAAAATTTTATACTGGGGGTGTTTTCTATATGAAAAGGTGGAATGAAATTTTCCATCCAAAATTTTACAGTTGGCAGGAATACCGAGCCCATAAAACACGCAAGTACATTTCATACATTTAGGATAATTTCCGTCAGAACATAGATAAGCAGTCTTATCCATGTTTTATGTTTAAATTTTTGTTATAAGAAGTTGTAAATTATATTCTTGCTAGCATGTAAAACCAGGGTTTCAAGCAAAGCTTGTTTATTTTTATCTTAACTTTTCCACTCGTATAGCAACTTTAAGTTAATATAAAACCTAATGAAAGATTTTTGAGTTTTGTTACGAATTCGAATCTTGTTACTTTATTCATAAATATGTAATGTTTAATGTTAACATATCGCGTACCTGTAAAATATAGATATTTTTCGACTAGCAGGGTGCAACTTTTTATTCTTTAAACATATAAAAATTAAACTAAATGGAAAAAAAGTTTTGTTCCTATGCGCCTTGTCAGACCAAAAAGTAAAATTTTTAAGAAATGTTTGTCCTGTAAGATAAATGTCCCTAAAATTCTCAAATAACTGTAGCTTTCTTAAATCAATGTGATAGTTACTTAAAATTTGTTAAAAAATTATTAAAAGAGTTAATATAAAAAGCTAGAAAAATTGATTGAAACTCGTTTAAGATGCATTTCTCAGCTTTACATATTAAGAATTAAATAGATTACAAGCTAATATTTCATACTGAAATATAATTAGCATGAAATGTATTCAAAATTATTTTTGATTTTTGTTTTCAAACAATTTGTCGGGATTTGAGTTGGTCAGTCATTTGCACGATCATTTTAACATGGAAAATGCGCATCGCAAAATTTGTGGAGTAATATTTATTTGAAATGCTGAATTAAAATCTCAACACACAAAGTATCGGACACTCTCTCAGCCTGTTGATAATTGGGTCGCTCATCATTCCTCTCTAACTATCAATGTTGTGTAGTTCTTAGAACATGAATCGAAAAACACACTTCGCACACCAAGAACTAGTTTTGGATGAAATCACCATTCTACACCAAAATCTGGACACAGCCGACAATCTTGCAATTTTTGGGTTATTCGCAAGTTTGGATTTAGTCTGAGACGAGATTTCGCATGAGTCCGACCTTATCCAATCTTTGGTTATTCAGTCCTTGAAGTTTTCACAGAACAACTAATACTAACAATTAAGGTAAAGGGTTCTTTTTAAATTTTGAAATGCACAGTCAAAACATACGCGGCAGAGGGAAATAGTCGGGAAGGAATCTTTCTTAATCTGGGATAAGGAAGTATAGTTTTTCTACGGTAAGAACTCTCCTCGCCACAAAGTCTGGGGCCAGGCAGGAATAGCCTGGTCGGTTAGGCGCTGTGCCCATGTCCAAGTGTTTGTGGGTTCGATCCACACTGGCCGAAAACTCCCCGTGCGGTAAGTGGTGACTGATGCACGTTAAATCTGTCGAATCGCAAAGTCCTCCATGCTCCTATAACAAATCAATATCTCTGGGGGTAATGATCCAGGAGTTTCCTTGTCTTCTGGATTGGATTCAAAATTACATAGCTACGGCGTTGAACATTAAATTGGGTCGGCTGTTCAACGACGGATATAAAAATAAAAAGTCTGAGGCCGTCTTGCTGCTATGGAAACAAGAATAGAGCATTTCGCGGAGGGTAGCTTTTCTTCACTCTAGGGCTAACTCAGTAGACCTAAGAAAAAGATTCCCTTTCTCCCGTCGACTGGAGCTAAAACCTGTCCTAAACCCGACACCCCTATTTGAAATAGTTATACCTCGTTACCATAGTCGCCGACACTGCTTCAGACGAATGGCTAGTGGAGTTCTTACTTACCGCTAAAGGGTAGAAATAATCGGCTGTTCTACAGGTGCTGAAGTGTCAAATTTTTTTTCATTTCTCCAACTATTTGAAAACTACCCAGATAATCTGCATACTAGGTACCCACTAAAGTGAATTAAGTTAGCATAATGATTTGTTTTGCCCTCTAAAAAATCAATTTCTCTATTATCACACATTAAATGCATACTTTGATAAAGAGTCTATTATTTTAAACTCCTATTTTGAGCTTTGTTTAGAATGAAGAGGGCTCACCAACACAACTACCATTCAGTTGGAGATTTTCCTCAAATAATTAGAGAAATTTAAATGCGTTAGTTTTTGATTTAATCAACAAGACATTTAAACAAAGACCTTCGAATTAAAAAGTAAAAAAGAATACCTTCTACAAATAATTTTGCCTAACAATATTCTTCTACTCAAGCAGTTGAATTCTCTGTTGAGGTTGGTTGGTATTTTACGCACTGGAGCTGCACAGGGGGCTATTAGCGACGGTCTGGGAAACATCCCTGAGGATGATCCAAAGACATGCCATCGCAATTTTCATTCTCTACAGAGGGGATGGCACCCCTGCTTCGGTAGCCCAACGACCTGCGAGCAAATTACAGTAGAACAGTTTAACGAGGATCAACACCGTATACCCTCTGTCCCTACGCAGACTGTTCCAAATGGTCATCCACCTGCACACTGACCGCAGCCAGCGATGCTTGACTTCGGTGATCTACTGGGAACCGTCTCTTAACGATCAGTCCACCGCGGGGCAGCTCTGTTTTGATTTTTAAAAAAAAGCCGAAACATATTTAATCTACATAATAAATAAATAATATCATGCAAAATTTAAAAAAATGAATAAATTGTCTTCTGGATTGGGTTCAAAATTACAAGGCTACGGATTTGAACATTGGTAGTCGTAAACTCGAAATTGGGCCAGCTGTTCAACAACAGATATAAAATTAAATCTCCAATTCAGTACCCTCAGAGGTATCATTTGCTATAGGAACATGAAGGGCTTTGTGACCTGACAGGTTTAATGTGCACCAGTCACCATTTACTACACAAGGAAGTCTTCAGCCGGCTGGATTTGAGCTCCGGTTTTCATCAACGCGAGTCCAGCATCCTGCCAACTAGGCTCTCCCGGCCAATATTGATATACACTTCAAATAAATGTATAGTGCGTAAAAAAAGAAATGGATCCACCTAAAACAAGCCATTTAGAATGACATATTTTTTATTTTAATTATTTTGTGTATTGTACATATTCACTGAGCATGTAAGACAACATTTTCATACAACATACATAGCACAGCCAGATTTATAATTGTATTATACATTCTTATTTACAAAGATACATTAAGTAAGTACAAAGAGTTTCTTTTTTCAACATAATACTTCTTTATGAGCACAATTATTAATACTTAATTGAAAGGATCCTTTTGTAACAATAACAATGTGTACATTTTTGAAAATAATTCAAAAATATTCTTTAAGGGTGGTAGAGATGCAATGAATATTCGGTCCTTTTGTTGAATGTTCGGGTAAATATTTGGCAAAATATTCTTTTGATAAAGTAATTTTGGACAATTTTTTTAAAAAAAATTTGAATAGATTTCATGAGGAATAATGCAAATTTGTATTCTTTACTATACATTATTCGTTCTCACTAATATCTATAAATTTATTTATGTTGCACAATGGACAATCGGCAACGTTTTGGGAAACATTCCTGTAGAAGACATGCCATCACAATTTTGATCCTCTGCAGAGTTGGCATACCCGCTTCGATAACTACAATGACTTATGCGCGAAGTCGCGCACTTTACGGTAGAACAGTATAACGAGGACTAATACCACATACCCTCGGTTTTATCGCAATTGCGATCAAAGTGGTCTCACACCTGGACACTGAACTCAGTCAGTGATGCTTGACTTCGATTACCAGCCATGAACCGTGTCAAGACTAAACATATTTGTAAGTTCTAAAACTTGCACAGGGCTTGCAAATTTATGTTCTTCAAGACAAATCTAGAGAATTAAAACTAGATTTCTTCATATTTATTAAAATCAGTAATACAAACCACAAGGTTTGCATTGCTGATTTCTTTTCTTCAAAAAATTAAATTCAGGCAAGTCAATTTCGTCTTTTTTTCAACCCTTTGCATTTTAAGAATTAAAATGCGAAGTTTTTTTTTCTTTGTATTTGCTGCTAATTTAGTTTTAATTATAGAGCCGCATTTTAACGCAGCGTTTCTGAGAGACTTAATTCTTTTACTGTCACTTTTTCCAAGAAAGGTAATAGAGATAAACGGTAACATAGATAAATTTGATTTTTATTTTAAGAACTAAGCACAATTTCTGAATTTTTTTTATCAATTTTTATTTTTATCAGCGTAGGACTCAATATTTTTTTAAAAAAGCGTTTCTAATGAACGTTATCCTTTCATTGTAACTTTTTTCTAATAATATGGCAATGGGAAAAAGTTTGAGATTTTTAGTGCTAAATTTTTCGCTTAAAAAGTCCATCTAGCCTTTTAAAAAAAACTTGTGCTTTTATTAAAAAGAGAGACAATTTAATTAAGTCTATTGGAAAACTTAGAGGTTCAGCTTTAAAATTTTCTAACGAGAATAAGATAAAAATTTTTTTGCCATAATATTTAATTTACTAATTATTCCTACTTATAAAAATCCATTTTTTGTTTTCTTTTTTAATTGAGTTTTTAAAAGTTAAAAAATTTGGTCAAACAAACATAAAATAAATATCAGATCCATTAAGAAAAAAAAATCTATATTATATATTAATGAATTTTCAGAATGACTAGGATCAAGAAATAAAAAATAGTCACATGTCAAATCACTACAATATAGTAGTAAGCATAAAAGCTTGAAAAGAAGTCAAATAAAATTTGCAGTAAAAATCATCATTTTAAAATTTTCAACAATCTAACAAATAATATATTGTATTCATAACTTACATATGTATTTTGGTTTGTTCATTTGACTAGGATACCAACCTTTTATTTTTAATTATAGCTTTTACTGTAGTTGTGAAGCTATATTTCTTTAAGACAAATTTTCTTTAGTAAAATCAACATTAAACATTCGATATTCCATATGGTATATACATATTTTTTCTTTTTTTGAGAATAAAATAAGTTTCATAAATTTAGAAGAGTTGACTTTTAAACAGAAGTGACAAAAAATTGTTTTTGCTTTGAAATAGATCTTTAATTTAAGACTGATAGTTTTGTCAAGGAAGTGTGTCATTTAGTTTCATACTTTCCTCAAAGATGGCGCTAGCAGAAACTCACAACTTTTTCAACAATTGTTTTTCTTTCATACTGTAAAATGTTGTTTTTTGTCACTTAAATCATTTTTAATGTCAACTTCTATATTGCGTGCAGGGGTCTGTCTAGGTTTTTCTGAGCGGTACCTATTTTGTGAAAATTGAGACATAATTTGTGAAAATAAAATTGAGACATAATTTGTGAAAATTATAAGTCATATTAAAAAATTAACACAAAAATATGGTACAAATATGGATTTATCGTTTCTTACGGGATACAAAAACAAAATTTAAAAGAAAAAAGTATTTTGTGAAACTACCATTTTACCTAAAGTTGAATTAGATTAGTGAAGGTACCACAAAACGGTAGAAAATTTGTCCTGGACCGACCCCTGGCATAAAGCCTTATAAGATTTTATAAAAGTATAAGCAACATTATTTTCAATATAATTTAAAAACATAAGCTTGCTGATACATGGAAAAATTAGGGTCCAAATTGCAAAAAGCAACTACATTGGTGTAAGAATTTAAGAGAATTTGCACACTAGGTCGATTATCTCTAAAACTACTGGACCGATTTTAATGAAATTTGATGTGTACATGCATATATTGATACACTACAAAACAAATAATCATTCAACAATTGTAATACACACGCATGATGGTGCGTAACACTCATTGGAGTCAGAATGTATGAAATTGCCGCTGAACAATTCAGGCCCATTGCCACAGGAAATGATAGCCTTATTTCGAGTATGAAATCAATCTGCAAGGCCTGTGTATTAACCTATTTTTTTGTTCATTCTGCAACCGCTGTTTCATACCTTCCGACTCCATCGAGCATTACGCGCGATCATGCGTGTGTATTACACTTGTTGAATTTTTTGTGTTGTATCAATGTACGTACACATCAAATGTCATTAAAATCGATCCAGTAGTTCTACAGATAATCGATCTAGTCTACAAGGTCTCTTAATTTCTTATACCAGTGAATATAAAGACTTTGGACTTGGAGTAAGGGGTCAACAAAACCTACGCCTCGCTCACAAAAACAGAATGCAGTACTCGCATCGGAACAGACTGTAACTTGTATTACTTCTTGAAAAACATTATTTTAAAAAAAGAAGTATTTTTTTCTTCATCTGAAAGCAACGTCACTAATTATTGGAAATTCTTTTGATTGACTTCGTCTAAAAAAGTTCCATGTGGCCCGTCTTCTTTTGTCCTTGGAGAAGGGACTGGTACTTGTTCTGAGTTGGACATCACATGCGCTGAGAGTAGAAGAAGAGTTTTTGGCGGGAAGGAGATAATCATGGTCAATGGGAGTGACCACTTTCAGAGTCAGTTCGTCTCCAGCTTCTCTTATGAGACTGACCACTTCCTCGTGATTCAGCCACTTTGCATCGGTGTTCCCTATCTGGACGATGAAATCACCTTCTTTCATTCCAGCTTCCTGTAAATAAAAATATTATGCATTCATACCTGCTGCCAACATTGGAGAAATAAAATAATGGAGATTTTACTAGCGACATTTTTTAAGGCTACGAGTAAAGTTTTGATACATCATGCATAATCATGTAAGTCAAAGAGAGAAATTCAAAATTGGAAATATTATAAGCACTTACATTTAACGAAGTACAAAATATGTATATCAATATTAATCTAAAAAATAGTTTCTTAAAACCATTATTTATTATTACTTAAACTATTTCATGACCATCGCTAAACAGCTGACCTAATTATTGGGTTTGCAACTACTAACCTTCAACTTCAGAGCCTTGTCATTTTGAACCTAATCCAGAAGACAAGGGAGCTTCTGGATCAAGTATTGGGAAAAATTTGCCTTCGTTAAGGACTTCTGATGGAACTAACCCACATTTGTATTACATGGAGAGGGAAACCACGAGAACCTCCCACGGATAGCCTAACGGCAATGGGAATCAAGCCCATGATCCGTCTACCACTGAGGATACTTTATGCCAGCACTGTGGTCGGTGCAAGTCAGATGCGGAACGCGTATGGACCAATCATTGCTAGGATTCGAACCTGGGTTTACCTCATTGGAAAGCAAGCGCTCTATCCCCTGAGCCATCATGGCTCGACTTAAACAATTAACACTAAACATACTGCAGTGCTGGCAATAGCACCATCTGTTGAGGATAAAAGAAGTATTTTAGTTGTATTTAGTTGTATTAAGTTTAGAAGTCGGAGAAATTTGAGAAAATATGGGTAAACAGGAGATAGTCGTAAAATACAGGAGTCTTTGATAAAAAACAGGAGACTTGGGTCAAATTTGGTCACTTGTAAAAAGAAACAAAAACTGAAAGATATTACTTGTCCGTACACATATTCACCGGTCCGGGTACATGCTTAGAATTTATTTTTGAAATAAAGTAAGAACTTGTACAAAACCTGTATGCATTGTAATTTAATCTGTTCATAATTATAATGAAATATGCTATTTAGTTATAAAAACACAGACCAAAACATGAAACCATTTACAGTCTTTAAGAATCTATAAAATGTAGAAATAGCATAAGAAAAAGGTGAACATTTGAATACAAATATCAAAAATAAAACTTGTTAGAAGATCAAAACAGTTCACAATTTTTTTCTCGTAAACTTAGCATAATTAGAACGAGACACTGGAGGTCTTAACTATTATATTCAGGGCCCGACTTAGCCTAATTGGGGCCCGGGGCAAAAACTTCTTTGGGGGCCCCCTCGGCTTCACTACTTTAGCACTGAATAACCAAAATTTATGGAGGTATTTAAATTTTTCACCTCATTATAAATATATAACAAGAAAATTTACTAGAATCTAAAAAAGCTATTAAGTCCCCCTCCCACCTCCGATCGTCAGACGAAATATCGTTCTGTCCATTTCATTGATCTTCTGACAATTCTATGTCCATCATGCGAAGGCAGTTTCCGAAATGCTGTTTTCTGATTGTTAACTTTGTTATCCAGCTGAGAAACATTCATAGCCTTGGCTACCGTTAAGGCGGAATTCAGCTATATTTTCGCAATTACGATAGCTCAATTAAGTTAATCAGAAGCCCGTATTTTTCTAATATATATCAAATTTTGCGATATGCAGAAATACAGGCTTTTTATGGGCCAAATTTTTCCATCGTAATTGCGAAAACTTAGCTAAATTCCGCCCTAAGAAGCCATGGATTTACGAAATATAGATTTTTTGTGTCTATACGATAGATAATGAAGAAGCTAACATAAAACTGACGGATTTTACACTGTACTGATATTTGTTAAAAAAAAGTTCAATATAGAAGGAAACGTAAAATAAACTTTCTGTTTGATTTGGGGGCTCCTCTGATGTGGGGGCCCCTCTGATGTGGGGGCCCGGAGCAACTGCCCCTTATGCCCCTGCCTTAGTCAGGCTCTGATTATATTCTATTATATTGTCCCCGTGACAGAATAGTGGCGACGATGCCGCAGAACGTTACCCAGTTCTGCAGAAAGTTTTTTCCTTTGGGAAGTAAAAAAGTTTGCTTTTCTTTTCTGCAGAAATTTTCTATCTTTTCATGCAATTTTATTACTACTGATTTTCATATAGCTTTTAAAAACCTATATTATTTATTACAACAACTGAATCTCGAAATAAAAACACGCATTTAGTAAACTCTTTTTGAAGAGTCCAATTTGTGTCATTTTGCCGTCGATCTCTTTTTCGGTAGTTACTGCTACAGATTTCACGATTTAGTTTTATTTTTTAAATGTGATGATGAATTACAAAATGTGAAAAAGGAAATAATTAGTGTATCATCATCTTCCTACAAAATGTGAGAATATCACCCATAATATTAGAATTAAAAAAAATAATTACATATTCAATTAAAATTTTTTTTTTTATTTGATCTGATTTATTTATTTTTTGAAATTAAGGCTTCTGTTATTCTAAATGAGTAACATATATGTTTGTTATTTTTTAAAAGTATCTTGCAGAAAAATATTAGAGAAATATGTTACAGAAAGCTCAAAAAAAGTCTGCCACAGGGAATATTGTTATTGTTTGCACTCAGTTCCACATTCTCTTTTAATGAAGGATGATAGCATTATGAAGCAAAAATATTGAGAAATTTTAATTAAAAATCGAAGCCAAAATTCAATAAAGTACATACTTGTGACAAACTCTTTGGTTCAACAGCAGTGATGATGACTGGTGCATCTCCACGCACACTGAAGCCGAAATTCGTCTCTTCATTCCTCTGCAATTTTATTTGTCTGGCAGCTGTCCATTGACGGCGAGCACAAAATACTTTTAGTGGTCCCTTAAAACAAAACAACAAAATTATTTCTATGAATTACTCCACGAATTTTATTCCATGAATTATTTATTTGTTAGAAAACAGATGAATAATTCATGGCTTGAAAGTTAAAGGCAACACCAGTAAACAGCCATTACTCTCAGGCATTGCTTGTTCTCCCGTCGGTTGAGTTTAAAAGTCCTTATGAAAAAGACACCGTCTTCAAAAGAAATATAATTACAACCTTAAGGAATCTAGTTTGATTTTTTCCTCTTTTTTTCTGCAAAAGAAAAAAATTATTAAAAACATAAAGGTGATGTTTGTTTCTTTATGGGTTTTCTATAGAGTTTGTCTAAATTAGAACTTCCCTAGCCATTTGCCTGGATCTGTGGCGGTGCCTACGGTAACAAAGTATATTTCAAGTAGGGATGTGGGTTCATTGTTTAGGACAGGATTTGGCTCCAGAATCTTTTCCTTCGGTCTTTTGTGTTAGCCCTAAAGTGAAGAGAATCTACCCTTCCTGAAATGAGCTATTCTTGCTTCCATAACAGCAGACAGCCTCAGACTTCATGGTGGGGGAGTTCTTACAATAGACAAACTATACTGGCACTTTACCCCCGACTTCCTCTCGAGGCATTTTTTTTTCCAGAAATTCCTGAGGGTCAAGTGTTTTGTTTGTGTCCATATGGGATTTTATACAACACTCATGAAGTATGGGGGAAGACAGTCCACATGTGACAACACTTTTTGAGACTGACTATAACACATGCACACTCACTCTGCATTCATTAAAGAAAAGAATTTTAAAAACGTTACATCATTAAGCGTTAAAGAATTTCGGAAAAACATCTTAATCTCTTAAGTTTTGAACTAAACCATCCCTAAAATCCATTTTTAATTTATTTGGAAGAAAAGAAGAATAGTAATAGAGTTTAAATTTTTATTTCACATTATTCTTTTATTCATTACAATCAATCAAAAATATTCTATAGTAAAATTATTTAATATCTTGAATTTACAGTTAAATTAAGTTTAGTCTAATTGGAATACAATTTATTTTAGAAGAATATAAGTGTCCAAAGCCTAAGTAGGTTACAATGATATGTAAATACACTATGAATAAATTTTGGTAAAAATCATGTAGCTGAATATATATATATANTGTGAGTTTGTTCATTTGGTAACCACATAAACTTAAAGTATTAGCATTATGTAACAGTTTTTGTGCAAAAATTTCAAGTTTTGCGCCAAATAAGCGTCATTTGCGAGAACTTTTGCTTTACTTCCTTAATTTGAAGAAATCTACAGCTGAGGTGCGTCGATTACTTGGAGAAGCATAGGGTGAGTCTGCTTTAAGTGAGAGAAGTTGTTGTGAGTAGTTTCAGAAATTTAAAAAATGGCGAGCGAGCTTGACGTGAAAGACAAAGAACACAGTGGAAGGCCGAAATTGCACGAAGACAAGGAATTGGAAGAAGATTCGTCCCAAAAGCAAAAAGAGCTTGCTCTTACATTACGAGTGACTCAGCAAGCAATTTCACATAGTTTAAAATTGTTGGAAATGATTCAAAAACAAGGGAAGTTGGGTTCCATACGAACTGAAGCCAAGGGACATTGAACGTCGATTTCGCTTGAAAATTGACTTTGCTATATTGAAACATTTCAACGGGAGGTAAAACACCACCCGCTGTATTCGCCAGACCTTGCCCCTTCAGATTATCACCTATTCTGGTTGATGGCACATGGTCTGACTGAGCAGAAATTTACTTCATTGGAAGAAATCAAGGAATGGGTCGATTCGTGAATATCCTCAAAAGATGGGAAAATTTAGTGTCTAATAATAGAGAATACTTTGAATAAAAGAAAAAATATTAATTTTTAAAAAAAATTGTTTGACTTACCAAGTCTTGAAAAAGATCTTTTACACTATATTCATTGAATTCAGGTGGCATTAAAGTAAGCTGGTATTTGGTGGCAGCTAGCAAAATAAAGAAAAGCTTTAAAACTCTTTTATAAAATGAACTGCATACACAGATGAACTTTTTTCTATCATTGTATATTGTTTAATATAAAAAAAAATTTGACTGAAAGTAATATCATCACAAAATATCGTAGCATCTATATGCAGGGTATCTGCTACATTTTAGATTTTCAAATTCATGACTTTCAATGAATAAATCCAAGAATTTTTCATTACTTACTATTTTCTCCGACAAAAACACAACAATAAATTTAAAAAAGCGTTATAATAACATTAATTGAAGTGATGAGTATCACCAAAACTGCTATACTCTGCATCTTCATATTTATAGATTTTAAACTTAAAAAACAAAGTAAAGAGTTGAAGTAACAAAATAGTTAAAAAAAATACAAAATCAAATCACTAAATACATTAGTTATTTAAACCTGTAGTGCTGTAAAAACTACATTACCATGTAGTTATTTAGACCTGTTTTATTTCTTCTTAAAAGTGTAATATAAAAAGCCGAAACAAGAATTTTAAATTGATAAAATAAAAAATAATAAATAAATAAATAAAAATTCTGAAATCACAGAAGTTTAAAAGATAATTCACTCGAGAAATGATGTTCTTTCTTTCATTTCTTGAAAGGACATCATAATTTTCAAAGATCAGAATAAAAACATTTTATATTTTAATAAAATATGACTATGAGTGAGGATTTTGTTACAAATTCAGATATTTGGAACATTGGGATACTGAAATTGAGAGGGGGGTAAATACCATTTTAAAAATTAGATTTTTCTGCAACCTAAATCCATGACTTTCCATGATTTAAAAAAAAAAAAAAAATCATGACATATCAGGACTTTTCAGGTGTGCAGATAACCTGTTTATACATATGAACTGCATACACACATGAATATTTTCAGTCATTGGATACTGTTTAATATAAAATAATTTAACTGAAAATAATATTGCAACATCATCTGTAGCAGAATTTTTTCAGACTTCCTGCAACAAACCACTCTAGCACTAGCATCTTTTTGCAAAATACTTTTAATAATAACAGCTATGCATGTAACTAAATTTAAGTAACGGAAAAGTTGTGTTTATAAAAAAAACTATTTGAATCAAACAAAATTGTATATAATGTTTTAAATTAAACATGTATTATTATTTTTTTTATTCTAGTATTATGGACAACATTCTCGCATTTTGTTGGAGGAAATACGCACTTATTATTTCATTTTTTGCATCATTACAAAAAAAATTATTATTATAATGAAAGGGTCACAGTAAAGGGGGGGGGGCGAGCTTAAGAGTGAAATTTGATCATGCATGAAAATTCATGAGAGCTACATGAAAATTGATCACCAGATTAAAAAAATGTCTTTTAGTTTTATGAAGTGTATGCTTGATGCAGGTTCTTTAAAATTAAAAAAGTACTTTCTATACAAAGAATAAAAAATCTCAAATTAACAGTCTCTTTCTTAACACTGCATCCAGGACTATAAATATAAATTACTTTTTTAAATCAAATTCAATATTAATTATCAAATTAATTAACAGTCTGTTTCTTATTACTGCATCTAGGACTATGAGTATAAATTACATTTTTAAATCAAATAAATTAGGGTAAATATGCGGCAAATACCTTCTATGGGTGGTGCGTCTAAAATCTCCTGAAAATCGTCTTCTTGTTCACATTTGGCGTACCTGTCGAGGGATGTGTCATGAGCTATTCGCAGGCGCTCTTGTAAATTATCTATCTGTCTCAGCTGGCGACACATTCTATGGAGGCGCAATGCTTCTTCGTGAAGTAATAATGAGGCCCTCAGGTGTGCTTTACCTGCAAGAAATAAATATAATGGTATAGGCCTTGTCGCAATAATAGGCTGAGCAATGGCTGGGTCATCAATGGAGAAGCCCCAAAAATAGCGCCATGGGAATCGTCACCTTTAAAAACCCCTGAGGCAGACCCTCTACTAGATAGCTCAACGAAATGACCTGAAAAGCCTAAAACTTAGAAATTGGAAGGGAGTTGCCATGGATAGAGGCACTGGCGTTTGTCAGCTGTTGAGGCAGCCAAGGTCTGAAAGGGGCTGTTGTGCTGACAAAGAAGAAAGTATACCCTGTCAGACTATGAATTTCAAGGAACAAGGTTCGAGTAAGAAGTCGCAAGTACAAAAACCACTGGAAGAGGGAGAAAGGCTTAATTGATTCAGAAAGGGGAAGTTTAAGTTTTCAAGCTCTGAATAAAGGATGTTTTTTTCCCTCCTTTTTTGTGAACTTTTTTATATCTTTATATAAAGTTTATTTCAAACATCGAAAAATATTTGAATGATAAATTTACATATTAATTGCAAGTATTTATGTATTACTTTTAGTATTTACCTAAGTATTTACTAATTAATTTCGTTTACTTTCACCCTCATTATGCAAATGTTTATGATTAGACATTAAATATATGAACCAATAAGGATCAACGTACTAAACTAATTTTTACCGAATTTATTTGAAGTAAGATCCTGCAAGATTCAAGACTTGATTAAAAATAAGATATATTGGTGAAATGACACATACAAATGATTCAATTTTCAGCAAGTTACTTGGAATTCTAAAAGTTTATTTAATTAGTAAGCCGCTGGAGAAAGCCAATATCTATTTCTATACACATATCCAACAACACTGCATATTTTATTTCATAATTAAATGGTTCACAAAATAAGTGTACATAATATTCTAATTTCAATCAAGCATTTTAAATTGACACATCTCAATGCAAAAGTAATTACCTAATTGTCTTCTTTCTTCTTGAGATCTTGGCACTTGGACATCCATATATGTTATGTTGTTGCTTGTATCTTTTGAATGGACATACTCTAGCATAGCCTCAACATCTTTGTTTATCTCACCTGGAAATCAAACATTCATTTCGTAATTCATTAAACACTTTTTAATGCAACATATGAGGATTCGTGTAAATGTGGAGTGTGTGAAATAAAATAGAATCGCCACATAAAACAAATACTGAAATGCTGTATAAAAATTTTGTGTCTCATTATAATATCAATGAAAAGTTTCGTGATTTTAAAAACAATCATTATTTTAAAACATCTTTTTTTACAATCAATGTATTAAAAAAAAACTAGACATAGCTGCCAACATGCATAGGAAAAATATTACATTACATTAATTATAAATGTATAGGGATGCTAAATATTTTACACATAGGGAATTTATATAGTTATCAAAACAGAAAAAAAAAGCAATATTTTTCAGTTATGATTGACATTAAACATACTTGAAATGTTATGCATTAAGTTTACTCATAATTTCAAATATTAATAGGCATTTAATTCATCAAAGATAGTTAAAAGATTTTTTTTAAATTTAAAAAGAGAGTTCTGAATTAAAAAATAAACTGAACATTTTAGAACAAAAAAAGTTTTAAACTGATTTCCAGAAATGAGATTTGCTTCATTGTGTATCAGTAATACTTATTTAAATATTTAACCAATAATCTGTATAAAAATTATATTTCAAGAGGGAATTTTTTTTGGAAACTTACTCACAATTTTAGGGAATTTTGTAAAATGTACAAAAACCAGGAGAATTTTAATTAAACCAAGAGAAACTAGCAATATCCAGTAGTCTACTGGAAAATGTAGTAGAGTTAGCAGCTATGAATATTGTACTTGAAAAAGAACTCTGGAAAAAAGGTGGTTGCTGGCGTGTCCAGCTCAAAATTTTTCAGTTACCAAAGAGCTATGTCACTTCAAAAGAAAAATATCACAGCCATGAATTTTGAAACTTTATATCGTGAGAAGTAAGAAAAAAGGTTAGTGTGAGCATAGATCTGGCTGATTAGACATTTTTACAACTCAAATGCCTGGAGATACCTCCACGTCACTGATCATGTAAAAAAAGAAAAGAAAAAAAATTACCAGTATGTTCCAATAATCCAACAGCTGCGTAGTGATGCGAAAGAGCTTTATAATGTTCTGATTTCACTTGAAGTAGACTAATCCATGAAAATGGAACATAATCCTTAACAGAACTGTTATTCATGATTTGATATACACTACCATACACAAAGGCAACCTAAAACAAGGGGAAAAGTCATAATAGCGGACAAACAGATGAACAGGGTGCACAGTGATTTGTCTTAACAAAAAATAAGCACCTTTAAGCACTAAAAAATATTTTTAAGCACTATATACATTACAAAAAAAAAGTAATTTTCAAAAACTTTACATGATCATGATAAAATAAGTAGTTTCTGACAAAGAACTCTTTCTTAATTATATTAGCCACCATAAAGAGATCGAGAGATTTTTCGGTTTGATTTCAGAGGGTGAAAAATGAAGCCTGAAATTCAGAATATCTTGCAAAATGCAGAAAAGTTGCACATGAGAGTGCATTAATCTCGCCAAACCCAGCTCAGTAGACGCATATACGTACTCGCAAGTATTTCATCAAACATGTAAAATGATTGGCGGTATCATACATTACGGACTGCTGGTACGCCAAAATGGAATGTGGTTGAATGAATTGTGAAAACATTGAATAGAAAAATATGAAAACCACGCTTTTGCATAATACGTAGCGATAATCGACACTGTAATCCCATTTTCGAAAAGGGAAAATTAAGCACTTCTTAAAAACAAGTTAGTGAAAACAGCACCTTCAAGTGCTTTTAAAAAACAAAAATAAACACCGCTGAACACTACGCATCGTGGAAGATGCAAGATTGATTATAATCAGGAAAGCTAAATATCTTCCAAAATGGAAGGATAAACCAACCTGGGAAAAAATAAGCTTCTTCCAAGCCAAAGTAGAAAAAAATGGGAGAAACACTTTAAAAACGAAATATCAAATTTCAAAATAATTTTTCCTAAACAGTTTACAATCGTAATCTAGTTTATTAGCAGCAACAACAAGAAAATAAATTTAGGACACTTTCTTAAGAAATTAAACAACTGTAGTTCTTTTCACTGCATTACACAACAAAAATACTATTAAAACCAAATTTTATAATCAGATGAAAAACTGCTCCAAGATAATCAAGTTTTATAAATATAACTAAATTAGCAAATCACATACCAAACATAATCAAACCAACAAATCATATATTGTATACAAATAACCTTGTTAATATTGTAAAATATAGTTACAAATAACATACTAATTAATGCATTTAATAAAAGTTACTAAATATTTATGTACAATTTAAAAAAAGTTGATAAATTGGTAAACTTTTAATATTTAGGACTAAAAGCTATGAGAAATGAACATTTGGAAGGAAATACAAATAACAGGGAATTAAATATAATTCTCTATTATTAGTGTTTATTGTCGTTCTATATAAGTATGCACATAACAGTGTATGAAATGCACATAGCAGTGTGAATAAGAGTGTAATTAACAGGAGAGAATTCTTTTAAATTTAGAAGATTTTAGCCATTCCAAAAAGTTGCAAACTTACAATGCACCACCATAAGTATCAATGCTTTACTAATTAACTATACCTAAATTTTCTTCACACTCAATCTCACATCAAAGAAAAAAAAGCCTCAAACCACTGTTGTCCAGCCAACCGTTATAATTTTGTTTCTGCTTATGAGTTTGTACGAAAAACATAATAAAATATAAAATTGAATAACATTCTGTTAAGATGCCTGGGAGATTATTAAATTTCATCTAAAAAGATGTAACACTTATATATTTAATTAATATAAAATTTTGTACAAATTATACGGTAATCACAAAAAAAAAAGTTTTAGTATGTCTACCACTACAAAAGTATAATTTAAGTTCACTAGTATATATAAAACACATAAACTCTATTCTATGCTGCGGCACCTTTTCATAGATGAAGGTTCAGATTGTCAATAATCCGTATCCCTACATTGGTGACCTTCGGACGTGATGTGAACACGCCTACCTTGACAGAAACGCCCACTTTGATTTGAACACGCCTACTTCAATGGATGGACCCCATTGAACAGTTGACTTGCTATTTGTGACAGCAACATTATCCACCTCCCCACGCTGTTGCCTCCCCTTGATGATAACACACAATGTTGGCTTGTATACACTTGACTGCTAATGGCAACACAGGAGCGACCATGATCATGAACTTAATACAGCTCTCACAATCAGCACTCAAAAAGTACGGTGACCTTAATACAGATCTCCCGGCTTTTTACAAAAAAAACAAAGAATCAACTCGTGGTGTCCATATATCCAATTCTATCATGGATTTAATTCTGGTGGGGGAGTACTGTAGTGTATCTACCACTACAAAAGTACAATTCCAATTCACTAAGACATATTAACTTGATTCTATGTTAGGGCACCTTTTCATAGATGAAGGTTGACATCGTCAATAACTTATATACCCAAAATAGTAATATATAAAATAGCTATTTGGAACAGCAACGAAAATAAATGCATATTTTTAAACTAAACATTTATTTGATATTTGAAAAGAAATAAATAACCTAAATAAAACAAAATTAAATAAGTAAATAAAACTCTCAGAATTGCATCTGCCCTTTGCATTTAGACACCAAACATAGTTTTGATTTGGGCAATCCTAAATATATCCTATCAACCAAAACCAGGGCTCAAAATTAACAATGGTCCGAGACCACTAAAATTCAACTTGAACTACCATAAAATCAATTATCATTGGTTCCTCGGAAAATATCCCTGTAAAACCCACAATAGAATCTAAAATTCTTTTTTTATTTATTAATTATAAGAGGATATTATTTAGCGAATATTATTTAAATTCAAATAAACTATGAATAATTTTTTTACCTGTGCGGCTTCTTGAGCAAGTTCTAAGTAGGATTGTAGTCCATGTTCTTCAGTAACTGGTGCAAGTTTCTCAAATAAACACTCCCTCGCTTGTGCCTACACAAAACCATGCTTCAGTTAGTCAATATCATACAATGCAATGATGAATGGGTTTTAAAATGCGATAGTATTTTGGATATTAAAGTGTAAAACTTTCTTTAAAAAAAAGAATTATGGGAAAAAAAAGTAAAATCATTTAATGTTCATTTACAGGGGTAATTGCGAGCCCAACTCAAAAACCCTGAAAATTTCTTGAATAAAATCATGAATGACGCATTTCAAAAAATTAATACCTGCATAAATTTAAATCATTGATATTTTCACAACATGAAATTCTAAATAAATTATATGCAGCATAATTTAAATCAATAGTTATGTATAAGTCTAATCACATTTATTATTCTACCAGAAAAAATATTCACAAATGAAAGAGATGCCAAGTATAAATTCTAGTTCTACTATTTCTAAATAAAATATGCAAGAATTTTTAGACATAAATGTGATCGATGATTTCTTGAAAATTCCGGATCACAGTTAGCCAAATATCCGGATTTTTTTCGGAGCATAATCATCTCTGCATTTATAACATTTTAAACCAAGTTATAATAAGATTTGTATATTTCCAAATTTTGATACATATTTACAATCAAATATTTGATAAATTGAAATTGTTTTATGATAGATTGAAAATATATTTATCTAATAATCATATATTTGTATACTTCCACTTTGTTTATACTTTGTATGCTTTGAGCATTTTCAAAATCAGCTCTGTTATTAACCATTATTTCAATTAGTTATGCATCATTGTTATCACAAAATTTCTTAAACAAAAGGCACTTTCATGTTGAAAGAGTGAGAAATGTTGCCATCGGTAGAGAGTTCTGCTCTACACCATTTGCAGACCATTTCGATCGCCTATTGCCATGCTTAGTAGGTAAGCTTAATCAGGGCCCAATTTAGCCTAATTTTAAATTCTTTGAGGGCCCCCTCTACCTCACTACTTCAGTAATGAGGAATTGAACTTTATAGAGGTATTTATATTTTTCACTTCATTATACATATAACACATGTATAATGAAGAAACAAGAAAATTTACTAGAACCTAAAATAGCTATAAACCCCCTCCCCATCCAATGGTCAGAGGAAATGATGCTCTGTCCATTTTATTAATTTTCTGACAATTCTATGTCCATATTGCCGAATGCAGGTTTTTGATTGTTAACTTTGTTATCTAGCTGCGAAAAATGCATATCCTTGCTGACATTATGGAGGAATTCAGCTAATTTTATGCAATTACGGTGGTTTAAGTAAACCAATCAGAAGCCTGTATTTTTGTAAACATATCACAATACGCAGGCTTTTGATTGACCAANACGGGGCAAATGTTGAAAATAATGAAAGATCCAGAAAGAAAAGTGAAATGGATTTTATTCTAATTGGCGTAATTCGAAACTTTTTCCAAAATGCGAGAAATTCGCGAATTTTGAAATTGATTTATAGAATGCGCGAATTTCTCGCGGTAATCATTTTTTAATGCGAGAAAAGAAAAAAATATGCGAGATTCTCGCGTTCTCGCGCTGTAGTGAAAACACTGAAAAATATATAACACATGTATAATGAAGAAACAAGAAAATTGACTAGAACCTAAAATAGCTATAAACCCCCTCCCCATCCAATGGTCAGAGGAAATGATGCTCTGTCCATTTTATTAATTTTCTGACAATTCTATGTCCATATTGCCGAATGCAGGTTTTTGATTGTTAACTTTGTTATCTAGCTGCGAAAAATGCATATCCTTGCTGCCATTATGGAGGAATTCAGCTAATTTTATGCAATTACGGTGGTTTAAGTAAACCAATCTGAAGCCCGTATTTTTGTAAACATATCGCAATACGTAAAAATATAGGCTTTTGATTGACCAAATTTATCCATCGTAAATGCGAGAATTTAGCTGAATTCCACCTTAGAAAGCCATGGATTTACGAAATATAGATTGTGTTCATTGGATAGATGAATGAAGAAGCTCACATAAAACTGACGGATTTTACACAGTACTGATATTTTGTTTTAAAAAAAGTTCATTAAAGAAGGGAACGTAAAATAAACTTTCTATTCGATTTGGGGCCCCCTCTGACGTGGGGGTCAGGGGCAACTTCCCCATATGCCCTTGCCTTAGTCAGGCACTGAGCTTATTGACATGTGAAATGATTTGATGCCTTTGTATGCATTTTGTTGTAATGTTCGGTTTCTAAAAATCTTCTACGTCTTTTTTATCACTTTTAAATACTTCTTATTCAAAAGAGATTAAAAGAAAATTAAAACGTAGGCCAAAACATTTCAGGTAGAAAAATCTTGTTCACGACAATGCTATTTAAATTGATGAGAATGTTTATACAGACCAGCATGAGTTGTATGAGAGTGTCCAATGTGTTAGGAGAGAGGTCCATACTGGGAGCATTGCTGAAATTGTCTCGGATGTACCGAAACATACCAGCTGCTCTCAGAAAATTATCCACTGCAGCATCTACACCTGTACTATTCACTCTGTCCTAAATACAAAAAAAAAATTGGTTTTAGGACAGTAAATAGAGATAATGTTACGGTGGTTTACAGACACAAAACTACTACTTATCAATTTAACCAGTGATCGTTTATTTTATGCATATATTGTCGAATTAATTTACATACCTCAACTATTTAAAATACTTAAATTAACAAAGCTTTAATCAAATACAAATTTATATAACAAATTAAACTAATTAAAAGGCTTTGATTAGCAACAAATAAACTAATTGGCATGGAGAGAACTTACCCATACTGATGATCATATTGGAAGTTGGTGAACCTCAAAATGACTCGGTTCTACTCTCTCTACTAATTCTGCTACTGTTTTTGTTGATCTTTTATACTAAACTTTTTGCAAGATAAAACTATTGCTAAATTCTGGAAAGGTCACACAAGAGATCAAACTTGGACTATAGACTTCTGATTAACCCTTTCCGACACGTATTTCTTAACTTTAATCAAGAGAGTTTATTTGTATTTGCTTAAGTTCTATGTACTAATGGAAGTTTCCACAGTATTTTAAATCTAATCAATTATTTTGCAATTTACGATAAATCTATTTTAAATGTTTTATTGTGATTCTGAATTAAGTGACGATAAGCGTCACAATAATAAAAAACCAAGTGCTATAAGCATAAAATAATTAACAACATAAATATTCAAAAGTAGATAGAGTATAGTTTGTCTATTCACCTCCAAGAAGTCTGAGGTCATCTGATGCTATGGAAACAAGAATAGCGCATTTAAGGGAGGGTAGCTTCTCTTTACTCTAGGCCAACACAAAGAAAAAGTTTATCTTTCTTTCGCCTACCCAAGACAAAACCTGTCCTAAGCAGTGACCCCATACCCATACTTGAAATAGTTATACCTTGTTACTATAGTCACTGCCACGGGTCCAGACGAATGGCTAGGGGAGTTCTTACTTTAGACAAACTATATACATAATGCTATGTATAATAAAACAAAACAACTTGAATAAAATACCAATAAAAATACAGAAATGGACATAAATTTTGTCCATTTCTGCACTTTTATTTGTACTTTATTCCTGTTTTTGCTTTAATGACATAATTATTGCTTGAACTAGCATCTCTTTAAACCTTTTCTCGCGTACTATAAAAAATTAAGTTATCTTATGAAGTATTTAAGGCATAATAAAATATTCCTTGCATTAAATTTTTTTTAAAAAAATGGGGGGGGGGATTTCAATTAAATGTGCTTCCAAGTAGCAACTTAATATCAATTTCTTTATCAAAAAAATTTTAAAAAAAAATTTAAATAGATAAAAACAAATATTTTAAAGTTATTTGTAACCTCATCTTGTCGAATGTAAAAAAGATTTTTTTTCTACCATATTAAAAATATATTTAGATCTGAAAAAGGTTTACTATTTCCTGAAATTTGATTAAACATCCCTTAAAATTTAAGAAACCTAGAATTACCTGCTTAGCAGCGATTTGTGTATAAAGTGAAGCAATGTTAAATAAAACACTGGCCTTTTCAAATGCTATGGTTTTCTGTGTACTGGGAACACCCGTTAAGGAATCAAACCTGGAAAAGAAATTGAGAGATAAAACAGAAAATAATGGTTCAAAATTAAAATGCCATTTTTAAGAGATCTGTTATTCACAAAATTATAATAAAGCTAGATGATGCTCCCTCCAAAAAAATTTAAAAGCATTTTATAAGGGAAATATAACATCAGTTGAACAATAGGTGGGTAAAATTGATAAAGCACTGAAGCTCAATTGATCTAATTCCTGGAAAATTGAACATATCTTTCACAAAAGAACAAGTAACATAAAAACAAAAAAATTTGAAGTCAATTCCTACTTAGGTCAACAAAGTAAAATTTTATTTTAGCTACTTTTCATTAAATAATTAAAATATTTTCTCTCATACAAAACTAAAATTAAAGAATTAAATTTAATGAATGAATTAGTATTTGATAAAACTGTATTAACATCAACTGTCATCCCCTACAAGTTCCAAAAAAAATGTATTTGAAATTGAATGGAGGAATAAAAAGTATTTTATTTAACGATTGAAAATTTGAACAAGATATAGGGAGATTGTGAATTAATAGTAGGAATTGAAAAAAGAAACTAAAAGATAAGAAAAGAAGAAGAAAGTGAGTTTAAAATTATTTATTTAATTTTAATAATCATAGAGAATGGTCAGAAAAACTACATTATTTTTGAATTTCACTACTACTACAACTACTTTGTTACAAATGTAATTAACAACACCAACTTTTTTTTAAATGTAGTGACTACAGACTACTTTGGAATTGTAGTAACCACTTCACTACTTTAAGGAGACGAAATTAGGTAAAATGTAAGGGAATAGTTAAGAAATATTTATTCATGTTTACATGAGCCAGTTTGTCATTCCATTTTTTTGTTTTGTTTTTGAATTTATTCATTTAACCTTCAACTTTTTATGCCTTCCTCGGCAGTGAATATTTAATTTAAGAAATACAAAATTATTAAATACTTGAAATTTTTTTAATGTTCTTTTATTTCTACTTAGAAATAAAGTACATCGAAAATACGTTCCCTTCCTTTGAAATAGCATCAATGTTTTGTGAGTGTACATTTGCATGTGACCAAAGTGATTAGTTATCTATTTTTGGTTATTTAAGACTAAATACACAAGTGGGCAACCTTTGTGCTAAAATACAAAACTAAGGCAAACAACGTTAAAGAGCACAAAAATATTTTTGAGCTCTTTAATGTTGTTTGCCTTAGTTTTGTATTTAAGGCTAGTTTAAATATTAGTTATAAGTGATTCTAAACACACAATTATTGTTAATGCTTGGCTGTAGTCGTAGGGTCATTTTCATTGCATCCATTGATGAACTTGTGAAGATTTGTAGCAGTCAAATTCGAAAATTAGTTGTTTTAAACCTGCCATATAGACAATGTCAATCTTCATCTATGAAAAGGTACCTTGACATAGAATCGAGTTAACATGTCTCATATACTAGTGAATTGGAATTGTATATTTATAGTGGTAGACGCACTACAGTACTCCCCCACCAGAATTACATCTGTGATAGAATTTGATGAATGGACACCACTAGTGGATTCAGTGCTATTTTGTGAGAAGCTGGGAGAGCTGAATTAAGATCACCGTACCTTTTGAGTGCTGTTAGTGAGAGCAGTATAAAGTTCACGGTTATGGTCGCTCCTGTGTTGCCATCAGCAGTCGAGTATATACAGGCCATTGTCGAATGTGCATGGAGAGAACTTACCCA